AACACAGTCAACAAACAAACAAACAGCAACTCCAGACTGTGAGTGAGCCCTGATCTTCCACTGGCGTCACTGCACCTTTCTCTCGCCAATCGAAACTTGGCAAAGCTTCTGGTAATTCAACACGCTTGGCTATCTTCAGCTCCCGAGTCATTTTGTTAAAATGTGCATTCATAAAACGGGCTGAAAATTCTTCGGCTAAACAGACGGTTAGGGTGTGCGAAATAAAATCAGGACCAATTCACTCACTCGTCAGGTCCGTGAACTTGGTTATACCATAGTTGGCTGTATCCTTCTCGTGTTTCTGCAACGCCTCGATGCGTATCAGATTGTCTCTGAATATACCAAACCTCTTTTCCTCATCTGCCGATAAAGTGCAAATAAATGTATGCAAAAGCTAACGGAACTTACCAGTCACATTTAAATATGCCTTACTGTATTTGTGCTTGAATCGTTCGAACAGTTCGCGAAGATCGCGATGGTTTACCTATTACACAGAAGAGCATATTACATAATGAATTTTGTGATTGTTTAAAGTTTCTGGTGAATTGTAAGTGGGTTAAAAGAAAATGTGTAGAAAACTTGAATCCGTTAACGCTTGCTTTCACATCGCAAAATTTCATGGTATTTTTGTGAAAGTTGGCAACTACGATTGGTAAACTTACTGCATGGGCATTGCGTCCAAAGATGCATGTGGTGGTCAGCAAAAAACTGATGAATAGTAAACTCCTCATGTTAGTTCTACTTATCTAAGCATGGAACACAGGCGTTAATATTGATATATCTGGTTTTGGCCTACGCAATATGCATTGTGTGAACTTTGAGTGTTCTACGATTGCGAAATCTTGGGATCAAAGTCTGATTAAGTGTAGGCGGTTCCAAGGGCTGTACAGGTAATGGTCTGTCACGTCTGTGAGTGCACGGTTTGGTGTAGTTTATTGCTATTTTCGGTAATCGAGTGTTATATTCTAATGCTGAACCTAGCCTTTTAGTTTGAGGTTAATAAACCGCTTCCAACATTTAGCAGTAGAAAGAATCGCATAGAGAGATTGTGCAGACAATTGCCGTCCGTAATTTTTCCTTGCGGAGATAAAAATGAGGGGTGATCATGCGACATTTTTTCAATTTAAACGAATTTGCCTACTCTCATACTGGCTTAAATTTCCCAGATTTTGTGCCAGACTCGTTAAACTGAAGCATTACTAATTGCTTCCGACCACCGAGTGTTATCAATTTCCTTGTGGTGAAGAGATTCGGTCAGGCCGAAAACAGTGGATTACATTTCATATCGAATTATCTCCTACTTAATAGGATTATGTTTGGTATATTTAAATCATATTCATCAGCATGTACTCCCCGATTATGTGTAATGCTAAGTTGGTCATGGTGCAGGGCATGGAAAATGTTAGAATGAATCCATTAACACAGCCGATAGAAAGTTAACCGTATACTGGCCCTTACACATTTTGAGATCTCTCGCTCTGTCATCTTGTTTTATAGGTTCCATATGTGTGAATACAAAGTCTATTTAGAACACAGCTTTAGATGTGGGATAGCGGATATCCGTCTACTCAGACTGCATCTTTCTGTACGTCTTAGGGTGTAGAGTCGTGCACATTGTTTACACGCAGCAAAGTTTAGCTGCATCACGTAACATTAGCGTTCGATTAGACTGATTCCCATTTAACGGCTAACGGAACATTCATGCTTGTAAAATGTTTTCAAATTTCATCATAAATGCGTTTGAAAACCCGCCAGCTTAGTGTCTATCATAGAGGCAAATCATTGGCAGCGTATCCAATGCTTCCACTATTAGTAAAAACATTTGCACTGATCCTAGGAATAAACTGAAGTGGACGAGTTATATTGTTATAATTCCGTGTGCTGTTTTGAAAATGAAGAATAATGGAGGTAGTAGAATAAGTACATAACCGCCTGGACCCAACTCATGGTGCACAAATTTTTGACTGATTCTATCATTCTTGCTTGCAGCAAAACATGTACGTTGTACCATGAAGTTGTCTGCTGTTATGAAAAAGTTCCTTAACAATAAGTACAGTGGACTCTGTGCACCGGTTTGTGGGACAAACTGTTTCGCAGTAGATAGAGTGGGATTGAAGGCAAAAATCCAGTTGATCTACGGTTTCATTTTTACTTACGAACATAGTTTTCATACACACACACAGTTACGTTGTCCGAATCTGCTATATTCAGAAGCTCCAATGTAACTGACATGAACTTGCCTCAGTTACGGACAGTGTTCGAAATACACCAAGATGATAAACATATTGTGACACAGGAATTAAGATGAATAAATTTTCTCGGACATAGTGAGTTTCAGGTTGTTGTGCCAAAACGCCTAGCAAGAAAAATGCATTCAATGAAATTAGCGAATAAGTGCTTCCCAAGTTCGATGAGAATGTATGTTTACTTAGAAACTGATGTTGGGATAGAGAAGAGAGTGATAAAGCAACGGTCATTGAGTAAATGTGTGTCATCGTTCTGGTGACCATTGCTGCTACTCCTTCTAATACTTACACCACAGCATAAAGTTGCTGCAGGTGCATTACCGCAGCCTCGATTTAGATTCTGATCCCAACTAAGAAGCGCAGACAATTGGTCCAACTTTCGGAGAGATACATTCCGATAACTGTTAGAGATTTAGCCGACTTCTTGGGAATGATTGTCGGAATGAATGTATGGATGAAATTGATTGATTCCGCTCAACCAGACTTTTTCAGATAGTCGAGTTCATACCGTTTTGTACTGTAAATCAAAAAACCTCTTATCGAAGACATTGAAGCAGGACCCTTTGGGAAGGTGTTTGCAAACCGGTATTTATAAGGATTGCCAAACCATTCGTCTATACCACATATTTCTACTGAACAATTCATGTGCTTTATAAAACGGTAACATATATCCCATTCCAAGCATGCTTAAGCTTCAACATTTTACTTCGTCTTTGGTTAGCTAAGCAGAATTCAATGGACCCATCGATGCCATGCGACAAACAGGTTTTTAAAATGCATTGGAATGACGCACGTAACACACCCACATAAACTCATCATTAAGCTCCCAGATCAATGGCATCCGTTATGCTTTGATAACAGTCAGGATAAACACAATCAGTATTCTCAGAGAGGATATTAAGTCAGTTCCGATAAATACACCATACTCATATCTATGTATTGCGAATATGACACTGAAGAGAAAATTTAAACAGATTTCATCATTCGTATATTTTACTGGACATAAACTTGTGGCGCTACTCCATGGTAGCAGCGGTGTACCATGCATTTTTCAGTGTCGAGTCTTAGGTTTTCTGCTTAATGCATTTGCTCTCCCACTTGTCGTCCACCCTGCGCAATCCAACCCGGTGTATTCTCTCTCGGGTGCCAACATTATCACGGCGCTAATTGTGTACTCTCCGTTGTGTTCGTGCAATGCTTTTAATCTCGCTTGTGCATTTCATGATTCGTTTTCTGTTTACTGATCCAAATTCGGTTCCGTTCACCCAATAGACCAGTTACCTTCATACTGTGTCTTAGGTGCGTTTTTAAGGTTGCAAGCTGTTCATTTTTCCGGGCCAACTAGTTCCTCCTTGTCTCCAACCGCGGCACACCTTTCTTCATTACAGACCGAAACAATACCGCGTTGTCCCTTAGACTGATACAATTGTGGTCAACTCTCTTGGGCAACACTCTACTTGCCTCTGTCCATGGGTTTCATGTCCGTTCCTTCAAAGTGAAATGCCAATTGTTATCAAAAACACACAGCCTCTGGAATTTCAATCATAAGTACCTTTATATAGAACAGGTTTGAACATAAATCTGTGGTCCACCATGACTATCGGCACTAATTATCCTTTCTTCTATCGAAACAGAAAAGGTTTTCAGTATTTCTTGAAAGGTACAGTAAACTGACGTTGTGGCGCGATAACGCCACGTATAACTATTCAAAGAAATTTCATTTGGCTTTCTGTTGTTATCGAATGAATCAGTTGTTTACCAGAAAACGGTACAATGAAAATGGTTCTTTAAATAATAGATTCTCTTAACATACTCAAAGATGTCTGAGTAATCATATGCAAAACTGGCTTTTCATACGGCAGCATTTTCGCCGAGATACCCAAGCACTCAAGATAATACCACTCAAAGAAATATAGGGACACATTATCATGTTTGCAAAAGAGGGTTCCGTATGTGAGCCAATAGGATAATTTATTTGAGATTGCTAAATCATTATGCTCAGAGAGAAATAAGCACCTTGGTAGCTACATCGAAACGTATAGAGCAACGTAGCTAATACGATGTTGCAAACTAACGAAGGAAAAAATTCACATAAAAAACAGCGTCTGTTGTATCGGCCGCTCGTTTTATGCGATAGAACTTATACTACTATAATCATGGTGAAGTCTCTGGCTTGAAAACCGATTCACCTGCTAGCTGAGCAACAAAAGCGTAAGAAGTATGTTCGAATGAGCCTACATACGACACGTTCCTGGACCAATGTAATAAATGAGCTTGGCATTTATTGCATCAATTGTCCGTCTCTCATGTCTTCGAAAACCTGTACCAGTTTGATAGTACACATCTGATGCATGCTGTTTTTAAAAGTTTAACCCACAGATAAGGCCATGGGTCTTCATGGTCACATATTCATACACCTTTTTGAATCCCATGGGTTTGCGAGGGTAGCTGGTTTGCAAGGATTCAACAGAGTAAATGTAGACATCTCCGACGTCCCACATTTGCCAGCGACTTTATAGATGCTGTGTAGTGTCTTTTCTCACAGCTTTCGGTAAGCGATTATCTTGGGTCTACTTTTGTCGCAACTGAATCTCGGTCTTCAGACTGTCGCCATAATTTAGGCCACGGATTAGGTCTGCACAAATACATTTGCGAGTTACTTGTTCTGTACATACTACTGGCTTCTCACTCATTATTAATTAATATTTTGTCGCACAAGTTCTGAATGCTACAAGTTGAAATCTATTACTATTGAACTCAGCTAGACTTCCAAGACACAGCCGTTTCTTCCATTCAGAAATCGTCAGCTGTACGCATTCTATTTGACCAATATGACACCTAAGCTGGCATCGCTAATTTATCAAGTCAGCTGTTCAAAGCATCGTTACGGGAGCGTAAAATATAGCTATGTTGATAGTTGCCTGCCAGCAACTTTTCACATCGTGACCGGTTTCGTAAACATTTTTCTTATCTGACAACGATAGAAAGACTGTGAAGTGAACCGGAGAATCTGGGTTGTTATCTGATTCAGAATCGGTTCCAGTGGACAAACTGACTTAAGCTAGGTATAAGTTGAATAGTGGCCCAATTTGACTTACTGACCAAATGTGGCGTTGAGCAGTTTACTATCTGATGCACAACCGTAGTGGCCAAACTTGACTAGAGTACGTCATGTCATAACACAGATACAAGTAGTCATACACGTATTTACCTTCTAAATCCGATCAGCGGTCTTAACTGCGAACTCGAGGGTGCAGAGTTACGTTCTTTAGTCCCCAAATAAATAAATAAAGGATTTTTCTCGACTTATCGAGGCACGGTTGCACAGGCATGATCATGTTAAGAGTACAACATGTGATCAATTACTGTACAGTGGAACAATGGGATTGTCGCATTTGTTGTTATATGAAAGTACGTAAGTGTGTATGTGGGCGTGCGTGCGTGCGTGCGTGTATGCCACTTGCTGATGCTGATGTTGCATTCTTGATGCTTCTTCACCGCAGTTGCGCTAAACCAACTTACACTTAAACAAGATCTTTTTAAGCTGGCTAAATATCATTCCACTTTATTTGGTTTGTTCTGCCTACCTAAATAATCTTCTATTAAATGGCCAGGTTGCTTACATTAATTGCGCTTATCTTCGGTAATTTTGTTTCGCTTGTATCATTTTTGAGTAATTTGTGGATATTTCTTACTTATCGCGGATTGGTTGCTAACCAACTTACTTCATGTGATAATTTAGCGAAGAG